AAATTTTGAGAAAATAGCAATTGTTTTTAAGAAAAATTTGGTACAAGTGATCGTCAGGAAGAGTTAGTGATTTGCGTTTTTTAAAAAAAATAAAATTTTAATTCATCACAGTAGTATAACCATTATACTTTTATATACTTCTGCGTGTAACAATTTAATAGTTTATGCGAAGTATAAAGCATACCTTAATTAGTTTTTAAATAGTATATAGCTTATTTTATAGTCAATTCATAGATATATATAGAACGTTATGCATTTTAGTTCTTTAGTCTTTTAGTTAGTTAGTTAGTCTTTAAGTAAGTCTTGGTATTTGAGTTGAATTTTAGTGGTTGAGAACATACTAGGTTGGTTAGTTTGAGAAGGATATTTGTTCTGTTAGTGTCTGGGACACAATAGAAGATATTGGTTTAGTACTTTTGATACCTGGATCGAGATAATAAATACTTGCTTTCATCTCTTTAATGTTGACATTCCTGAGTTAAATCAATAATGATATAACAAAGTCTCTCCCACTGGACGTCACACTGTAAAAGATTTCTAATACAGAGACATTAATTTGAATTTACAAAATATGTATTTGATACTTCTCAAATTAAAATATACCAAAATATAACTATACTAGGAAATAAACAAAAAAAATAAAAGAATAAAAAGATAAAATAAAAAGAAATGTTATTTTCTAATAGGAATCGCAACAATGCCAGTGCATTTCTTTATTCCTATACTATCCTACACATTATCTCTCTAAGCTTTTCTCATTGATTTTCTGTTATTTCTATAGACTCTATGATAATTAAATAATCTGTTTTCTTCCTTAAAACTCCTTTGGCAAAAATTATTATATATTTTCCAAAAATACTAAGCTTATCATTCTCATAATTATTCGAGTCACAATCATTATTATTCAAGGTAAGCTTATTATTATCCGAGTTTGGCTTATTATTCTTCGAGTTAAGCTTATTATTATTCGAGTTAAGCTCATTATTATTCGAATTAAACTCATTATTATTCGGATTAAACTCATTATTATTCGAGTTAAGCTCATCATTATTCGAATTAAACTCATTATTATTCGAGTTAAGCTCATCATTATTCGAGCTAAACTCATTATTATCTGAGTTAAGCTCATTATTTTTCGAATTTTCTTTTCGTCTTCACAGATAACCAGAATACCCTATGAAAAAAAATATACTGAAATTATCTTGAATTAATACTTAAATTTTTCAGTATAAAATTCTGTATAGAAT